GTAGAGCGTATGTCTTTACCCTCAATACCGTACAGATGATAGTTCAGATATACCCAATGTCTAACTTGAGTTCACAAATCTACTCTATTTATAAGCATATATCAGAACTCACATCTGGCATTAAAGACAGGTAAAGTGAAATATATGGGTTTATTTCACTTTTGAACATAATAAACAATATGTCCTCATCTTAACATTCTGTTAAGGCGACATCCATGCTTCAAGCTTGAGCTCTCAATTATCACCTAGATAATAAGCTTAAAACTGTCTCATATCTATTCATCACACAGTGAGTAGAGGCGATTACCCTTGTGAGTGGGTTAATCTCTTATCTGTCCGACATACCTTTTCAATATAATGCACTTACCATCGACATTCATAAATGTCATGTAAACTCATAGGCATTAATAATGACAAACTTCATTAATAGTGAACATCCAAGAAAAATTATAATATTTAGTACATCATATTCTACACAGTCCTAGAGATCTCACATGACCATGGAAAACTTCTCTAGAAATCGGCTTCGTCATAGGATCTGCTATCATCCTTTGTATAGATATGTACTTCACGTTCACTTTTTTTCGTACAACCATGTCCTTAACATAATTATACTTGATATCTATATGTTTAGTCTTTTCATGATGCTTGAGATTCGTAGTGTATACTATTGCTGCTTGGCTATTACAATAGACCAATACTGGGTTTGCAGTATTCTTAGTAACATCTAAGTGATCAAAAAATCTTCCAAGCCAAACAGCTTCTTGTGCCGCTGTTGATAGAGCCACGAACTTGGCTTCCATTGTGGATAAAGCTACACACTGTTGCTTCTTATTGCTCCAAAATATGACGCCATTATTCCGTAAGAACACATATCCAAAGGTAGATTTCCTTTCCTTTAAATCTCCTTCCGAGTCAGCATCAATATAGCCTTTAAGGTGCAGATCACTTCCTTGATAAGTCAACACATAGTCAACACATAGTCTCCTTCCTTGAGCGACATAAGTCAACACATAGTCGGCACTTCCTTTTAGATATCTCAAGATTCTTTTGATGGCGATCCAATGTGTTTGACCTGGATTGGATTGGTATCTACTTACCATTCTAATCGCATAACAAATATCAAGTCTTGTACACATCATAGGGTACATCAAGCTTCCAACAGCACTAGCATATGGAACATGTTCTATTTGCTCCTTTTTTTTGGAGTCTCAGGACACATTATGTCGCTCAATGCTTCGCCTTTTGCAATAGGAGTATCTATTGGTTTACAGTCTTGCATACGAAATCACTTAAGGATTTTATTCACATACGTCTCTTGTGAAAGGGATAAAGATTTCTTTGAACGATCTCTTAAAATCCTAACTCCAAGAATGTATGCAGCTTCACCCATATCTTTCATCTCAAAATTGAAAGATAACCAATTCTTGACTGTATTAACAAACTCTATACTGCTTCTGGCAATTAGTATATCATCAACATATAATGACAAGATCACAAATTGATCTTTGGATCTTTTGATATATACACAGTTATCTTCACTAATCATTACAAAATCATATGCCATTATAGCATTGTGAAAGCGTATATACCGTTGTCTCGAATACTGCTTAAGGCCATATATCGACCTCAATAGTTAGCACACATTTTGCTCTTGGCCCTTTTTAATGAAATCAACAAGTTGTTCCATATAAATTTCTTCCTCTAATTCTCTATTGAGGAATGCAGTCTTTACATCCATTTGATGTAATTCAAGATCCATACTAGCTACTATTACCAGAATAAGGCGAATAGAGATAAATCTAACCATAGGAGAAAAAGCTTCTTCAATTCAACTCCTTCCTATTGATTATATCCTTTCACCACAAGGCGAGCCTTATACCTCTCAACTGAGCCATCAGCCTTACGCTTTATTTTGAGAACCCACTTGTTCCCAATAACTTTGCGTCCTTTTGGAAAATCAACCAATTTCCAAACTTGGTTTGATCTTAACGACTCCATTTCCTCTTCCATTGCATTCATCCATTTTTCCTTATCAGGACATATTAGAGCCTCATTGACATTATTTGGGTCATCTTCATCCTGTGGGGCGATCATAAAAGTTAGAGCCTCATTTACATTCGTGGACTCATCTTTATCATGTTGATTGATCATAAAAACTTATCCTTCGATGTCAAACGTCGACAAGGAATGCAATTACAACTTGATTGTCGTATGGGAGGCTGAACTCCAGATGATTCACCACGCTCCATTGCACCCCCACTCGGATTAGATAATGGCGATGTCGTCTCATCAAGTGGTTGCAATTAAGATTGGTTTGCACTCAACTCCCCACTTGTCACAATACTCCCACTAACTTCACTATCACGATCCATAAATTCGTATAGTGAGTAATCTCCACCTTTTTCGCGCTTTTTAGGAAATTCATTCACTAAGAATGTGACATCCCGTGATTCGAATTTAGTTATACTTCCGCTTTCTTGCCACCTATGAATATATACCCTTTTGAGTGCTCTGAGTATCTTATGAAAATACTCTTTTTGTCTCTTGGGTCCAATTTTCCATACTTGTGAGAGGATTCACGAGTATAGGTAGCACAACCCCAGTGTTTTAGAAAGCTTAAATCAGGCTTTCTGCTTGTCCATAACTCATATGGAATTAAAGTAACTGATTTAGAAGGCACACGGTTAAGTACATAGACAACAATTAACAAAGCATCACCCCAAAATGTGATATGTAAATTAGCTTGTGCCATCATTGACCTAACAATTTCTATTAAGGTTCTGTTTCTCCTCTTCGCAACACCATTTTATTGAGGAGTTTGTGGAATAAACAGTTGCCTTTCTATTTCCTTTTCATCACATAAATTTTTGAACTAATCAGACAGATATTCTCGACCCCGATCGGATCTTAATGTTTTTATTTTTCTGTCTAATTGATTTTTCACTAATCTCATAAATCTTTTAAAGCAACTTAATGCCTCGAACTTATGAAAAATCAAATCAATATGTCCGAATCGAGTATAATCATCAATAAATGTGATGAAATAAACAACCCCGTGCCTTGTTCTTACGTTCATTGGACCACAAATGTCTGTATGGATTAATTGCAAAGAAAACTCAGCTCTTGTTCCTTTTCCAAATGGTTTTCATGTTGTTTTTCCTTCTAGGCAATGCTCACATATAGGCAAATCAACCTTTTCAATATTCCCCAATAAGCCCTCTTTGGCCAATCTATCCATTCTTTGTTGGCCAATATGGCCAAGTCTAACATGCCACACATTCACATCATTCTCATAAGAATCAAAGGATATAAATAAGGAATAACTAACGTTTACTTCACAGTAGTTAATATCCAATATAATGAAACCATCCAGAAAATATCCGGAACCATAATAACTTATTTCTAAAGACAAGTCTACATCATTGTTATGGAAGTTAACATTGAAATCAAGTCTTACTAAAACCAACACCGAAACTAAGTTCCGACGAATTTTTGGAGCAAATAACACATCATGTAAGAATAATGTGCGTCCACCGTACATATGCAATTGATAGGTGCCAATGCCTTTGACTTCCACTCTGGAATTGTTCTCCACATATATCTACTTCGTTCTTTGTGGAACTCGTCGGAACTCCTCAAAGGCTTCTCTGTCCTTCGCTATATGGTCTGTGGCTCTCGAGTCTACAGTCCACAAAGTGACCCTTCTTGCTACAATTGTAACATTTCACCCTTGAAATGTTCTTCTTGAAAGGATGTTTTCCTTTCTCCCGTTGGTTGAACCTCGGTTTCTTGATTGAGGGATTTGCTCCTTTGCCTTTCCACTTCTTTAACCCACTTGGATGCTTCCACTTGGAGCCCGAAACTCCATGTGAGCTAGAACCAACAAAGTAAATGTCGGTTTCTAGCTCAGCCACAAAGAGGCGGTCCTCTTCTAGCTCAAGATGCCGCATAGCATTCTCAAAGGTTTTGATACCCTCATTGTGGATCAAGTGGATTTTCATGTTCTCCTAGCTTTGAGGTAAAGAACGGATTACTGCATGCACTTGTTCATCAGTGAGTATGTGGTCAGCATCCTTCAGCTCACTTATCATATTTGATATCCACCTCAAATGCTGTTTCATGGACTTTCTATGAGGCATTTTGTACGTGTCAAAATGAATAGTGAGTTGTCTCAATTTGGTCACAGAAGTTCGACTAAATCTTGCTGCCAGTGCGGCCCACATGTCTTTTGCCTTTTCGAAACATCCGAACTCTCGCATGATATCATTGTCCATGTTGCCTAGCAACGTAATATGAGGGAGAGAGTTCTTCCTTTTCCACGTAGCAAAGGCATCTTTATCCCTTTTGTGCTGGCTAGTAGTCCCATTCTTAGGTTCTTTCATTACTTGGTTAAGAGCTTCGAGTGCCTCTTGCTCTTCCAACACATACTGAATTTTGAGATTCCAAATCTCATAATTGTCGCCATTCAATTTCTCTCCCTTATTAAGTTCAACCACTATGTTATTAGTTGTTGAAGCCATTGTATCTGAACATTTCAGATATATACGTAGGAATTATTAATGCCTATCTTAATGCTTCAACAGCATCACAATTACATAAATCAATCATATTAATGAATAGTTTCACAAAAGATCTTAGAGTCGACAGGTCACTATGTTCCCAATTATCATCTAAGAATCTTAATTTGAAATTATCATTAACATAATCATTTATGTAAAAAGAATTTAGTTCTTCAAAAGTTATACAAAACTTTTAAGAACTTCCCACACATATAAAATGGCAATATCAACTAAGAAAGCCACTAATTTCCATAACCATACATTTCATAACACATTTACAAAAATTCGATAATATGAAATATCAACTTGAAATATGTACACAAGTGACTCCATATCATAAAGAAATAACATCAAGTGTACCTATGAAACATATAGATAGGAAAAGACTCATAGAATTCCCGATCATCGTTAGTAATGATGCTCTTCAATCACAACTTCCTATTCGGGCAGAGGGATATCGGCCAAATCTTCTCTGTATGGGATTTCATCTTCCCCCTCTTCTCCATCGGCATCCTTCAACCCGCTCTCTATGTGGCCCGATTTCGTCGGGTCGCGCTTGGTTGGCTCTATGAAAGTTATGACCGCGTCCTTCCGGATGGTCAGATAGATTACCGCCAAGATATAGACTGCCATTATGGGAAAAACAATGATCCCGAGAAATACGTTCGCCACTCTTGGTAGGCTGTTGTGAATTAGCCAACCCACAAAACCCGTGCTCAGGTAATATATGTTGATGCCGATTATTCCGAAGCCAAGAATCCACGAGATGACGATTATCTGCATGAAATTTTCATCAATATCAGGGTTGTTTATGCTTTAAAGATCGGCATTTTGGTCTAACGGTTCTTATTCATAAGGATGATTTCACTAGGTGCACTTGCGCACAGTGCCAGTGGACGAGCGAAGCAAGTAGCGATTGCTTTAAACTGGAAAATATCAACTTACAATGACGGAGTTCTTGTGTGGTCCCATCTTGGTCGTAGCGCTACTAAACTTGAGGAGAGGGATGAGAGAGAATGGAAGTTCAAAAGAAAGAATCATCTGCTCAGTTCCAAATAAAAAGTTTCTGCGATCAGTCAAAATTGGAAGAAAAACATGGAGAGAGGCAGATTTCAGAGGTTAGGGTCGACTAGTTACGAACCGATGCAATGATAATGAGTTGCCCTGCACCAGAAGATCCGCCTATAATTGAGACAATAAGACTCGGTATCATGGCGATGCTCCTTGTCAACAAGTTCCTTTTCCACTTCTTCATCTTTAGGTCCAGAAATCCCTGAATGTGATGCATACCGCGTTGAATTAGCAAGCTTAGTTTAAAGTAAATAAAGATGAATTCAATATCTAGCAATTTTTTCCCCTGAAGAGACCTGCATTATGAATTGCCCTGCATAGGAGCATGTGATGGTGGAACTCTGGCCGGATGCCAGCAGCGCGATGGCGTATACGGTCGAGCTTGATCTTCCCAACACATTCTGCATAGAATGACTTAGAGAATTTAAAGGGGAGAATTTTGGGGATAGCGGCGAATCCTGTATTACAAGAAATCACAAATGTTCATGCACCTTTAAAAGAAACGATGCAGAGTTAAGTGTGAGATTATTGCACGTGTTGTTATTGCTATTGGAGAGATTCTTGGCCGAGCAAACTGCGGCCGACACCGAGATCATTGCAACATTTATCAGACAGGCTACTAGCAATGCGAAACCGCTTTCTATAAGGAAATATCTGCAGGCATCCTGCGAAGTCAACAGAGCATCGGTCATTGATTGTCATTTCCCGAAAATAACAACAAAAGATAAAAAGGTGCTCACATACATTGGCACTGTGGTACTTATATAAACAAGCATATGCAGATTCATGTAAATTGTTCCAGTGGATATCATGCTTACATTGATGCCACGGACAGATTTCGGTACTTTCCTGGACAGCACCAATGCAGAATGGAGAAATAGGTTGTGCCTGTCAGAGAAAAAGAAGAGGATCAGTCAGAAGAACTGATCCAAAGACAATACGAGAGCGTGTCGAAGGTTACTTCACGGTGAGAGTAGATGTTTCTTATGTACAGGAAGAGAGCTTACGGCATGATGAGGGCACCCAGCAGAGCGATCGCATCGCCAGTGGCTCCATGACCGCTAAGCTTAGGGACAAACATGCCCCTCAGGACATCAGATGCAGGAGGCTTCACAAAACCCATTTCCCCCAAAAAACATGCTGCCATTATGAACACCAGCACTGCTATCAGCATCTCCAGCTTCCTTACCTGCAACAATTTCACAAGAAACCAGAAAATTTTGAGCAACACTAGTCGTGCATTGCAGAGTTGAAGGCCAACTTAATCTTAAAAAAGGCCCCCGACTCACCGGTTGACCAAATCTTCACAACTGACAATGCTATGCATCGCACGAAAGATGCACTTGAGATGCACAGACTATCCGGCCAGCAAAGATTTGGTCGACTAGTGAACTCAAAGCCTTAATTGAGACTAAGTTAGCAATTTCAGGACTTTAATTGAGACAAGATCCCCTCCGGGTCCTTTTTTGAGAAAACAGTCCCACTTCAGATCCTTATTTAAAATTTCCCAAATACAGAAACATACCATAAAGAACCAAGGATATCAGTTTCTCTTCTTCTTTTTTTTTGCTAAAAAGGATATCAGTTTCTCACTCTTTACTTTTGCTTGCACCAGAAAAAAAGACACTTCTCTAGACTTTGCCATGTAGTTTAATGACTCCCCACCAGATCAATATCAAGCAAAATTACTTATCAAGTGCTGGTTTCAGACAAGGAATTTCATCTTATACATAGCTTGTATAAGAATTAGTTTAATCAATGTTAGTTAGATGCATGACTCGTATCCTTTGAAGGTTTAGCTCCGGAATAAAGAATCAACTTTTTCAAATTCAAGAGGGTATCGTCACACATGGAATACGGCCCGTGCAAACTAACAGGCACACAGATTTGAAGTACCAAATATACGAGTACGAATGACAGAATCAGGCAAGGAAGGGGCTCGGCATACAAAAGGCAAGCAACAGCAATCTATAAAATAAAGAACATTCAGATGAACACAAACAAAAAAAATTACGAGCCTACCCCATATCTTTGTAGCCCAAGAAGCAGGAGTGTACTACAACCAGTGAGAAGAACCCCAACCCACAGTGGTATGTGGAACAGAATATTCAATGCAAAGGCTGTCCCAATAACTGCATATTAATGAAACTCACAAGATATCACTTACTCTATCATTAGAGGAAATAAACAAGATTATAAATGATAAAAAAAATTGATGTCCTGATAAAACATGCCTTCAGGTACATCTGCAGCAATCACAGCAACTTCAGCTAGCAGCCAGAGGCAATACTTCACCAGGACCGGATACTCAGCCTTGCATAGTTCTGCTAAGTGTTTCCCTGAAAAGATTCAATTCGAATAATAAAACCGAAAAAAGCCATGTAACCTATGTCATCTTTATGTATATGAAACTGGTATGGTGTTTTTCTCTTTTACCAGTGCTCACACCCAGATTTGCAGCAAGTGACTGGATGATTAGAGCAAACACCAAACCAATTAGTATCACCCACAGAAGCTGGAATCAGAAAACGCAAGGGTCAGTGCGAGACTTAATTCTCTCTCCCTCTGCTCCTCTTTCAGTTTATGTCAATTCTTCATTATAAAATGAGGAGTATAGTAGACCTACTAGAACTAATTTATTTACCTCATATTGATCACTGGCCCCAGCTTGAAGATCTGTTTCCACTGTAGCACAAAAAACCATAATTATATCTTTGTGAATTAAGAGGAAAAAAGAACCAGTACTACATTATATTCAGACTTAATTTTGATTCGAATGGTTGAAGGTCGATATGCAGCTGGTGCTCTATTAATAGTTTTCATTTTACAAGCTCGAGTTAACTCGATGAGATATTCTACAATCTTGAGCTTGGTTCGAGTCGCTTCACTAGCAAAACTACATTCGTTTTAAGCTTGAGCTCGAGCTGAAGTTCTGAAAGTATGATGAAATCCAAAAAGGATGTGCTTACATGAACACAAACGAAGATGTTCGACAATCCAATTACGATATCGAGCCGTTCGGTAAAGTATTTCGAATGCTCAAGCTCTATCAGTTCGACTTTTGATATCCTTTATCTAGAAAGGAATCGAGCCAAACTTGGGGAATTTGCAAGTCGAGCTCGAGTAATTCACGAGATACTTGACGGGAGTTGCACCCCGAGTGCTAACTTACTACCTTAATCGCTAATGTTACCGAGCGCATGTCAAGTTCTTACTAGCTTTAATCAGCCATGTGTCCATGGTTCGCAAGCAAATGGCAAAATGGTTTTGTTTCCATCCAATCTACATCAAGTTTTTCCATTCCAAATTTGACACTTGATCTTCAGAAGAAGAACTGGTGTTTTAAAAATATGTACTTTTTTCTGGTTAAAGTAACCAGTTGATTGGCATTCAATTTTGTATGAAGGGTCTCGTCAGAGTCAAGCAGACTCAAGACCATCACAACCTTTTTTTTCCCAATCGCGTTACATGCAGGTAGGGATAGAGATTTACTGTTTCCGGGGTCAAGGTAGGCGATTGAGACGAGGAAGCCGGGGCCCACATGAGACAGGAATTTTCTCCACCCGGGTGTCTGGTGATCATGAAGGACAATGAAATTAAGTCGTCAGTCACTTCTCAAAAATTTTTCTTTCGACATCCTTCACGTTATAGAAGCAGTACACCACAGCTCTTTGTATGGACAGCAAGAGAGCTATTAGAGAGAAAGGCACCTGATGATGATCGCCAGGCTCCTCATCAGGATGATGATCCACGCTTTTGTTGTCGTCGGTCGTACGAGGCGGTGCCGGCGGCAGGGTGCTCCTCCCCTCCAAGTTGATAGCCACTATGCGGTTGCTGCTACCGCCACCGCTGCCACCACGACCCCGAGACGACAGAACTGCATCATTGATCACTTGCTGGTCCTGCATCACTTGCATGCTCTCTCTCTCTCTTTTGTGAATTCTTCAATGAAGTTTATTGTGGCCGGAAGTGGTATTTATAGTGCATGGGAGAGAGGGTTAAAGAAGCATTTAATATGTCTGGACTTTCAATTTGGACAGCTTAGGAGTTTCTCTGTTTTACACCCAAAATGGATTTTGTTCCCTCCCCTACTCTCTTCACGCACACCATGCCATGGGAAGTGAGAGGTCACATCTTCTTACTACAAAATGATTTTACACAACACAACACCGCTTCTCTTTCTTTATTCCCAAAATTCTATTGTGTTCATTCTTATTAAAGAATCAATTTTCATCATGAGACAGCTTTTTAATAGTTTATTTTAAACAATTAGGATGCTCTCCATTTACCGCTTAAAAGGCTGCCGAATCTTCGTCTTGTTTAAGAACCCGCTGGGACAATGACACGGAAATTAACGGATTTTGCGATTAAAACCAATGCGGGAAGAAGAAATTACCAGAAAAATCAACAATGAACGATAAGAAATTCCAGATATTTACGTGGTTCGGTCATAGTATTGAATCTAACCAAGCTCTAAGTTACGTTCATAGCAACCTGCAAGTGTTATCTCATAAATTTTCACAGAAATTTCACTCTGGAAAACTCGCAAATGATATGTTGATTTTATCCTAATGATGAGCCCGAACTCTCTATGGAAGCCATCATTTCAACTATTGTGTCGAATGAAAACTAAACGTAAAGAAAAAAAACTCTCCACTTTCACTATCTGAGAAGTAAATTTTTGGTATTCACCAATCAAATGACAACTCATCAACAAACATATTAGTGTGAGTAATGTGCTTGACATCTATATGTTGGTCCGCTTGGAGTTAAAGAAATTATCTTATATTGTGCGAACCCTTTCGCTCCATTTAACCCAATTCCTGTCGAGTTTTTTAAGTTAAAGTTTCATATGTTCCTTAATCTTCATTTCAATTTTCTCTGCTCGGTTCCACACCTAATTCCACGAAACAACAACAATATGCACCACTTTGAATTGCTCTTTGTAAGGTATTCCTCATTTGTTGGGTATTCCTCACAAGGAGCTATTGTGATGCAACGGAACCATATAACAATTAAAATTGGAATTGGCACAATATCGCAAAGTAGTCACCTTTGCTCAAGGGAGAATTGAGATTCCTTTAATAAGAGGTTTCTTTCCGTGATCTTCTCTTGAATTTTGAAAACTTTTGTCGCTCCATCCTTGCATGGGCAAAGAAACCATGCTTGTCTTGATTATGCTACCGAAGGCTCCGGGAAAGTCAGAATAGAAGAGCACTAGTAAATTTTTATTTTATGATTAATGCATTCAGAAATTTGGTCTGACTTTTCGACGAATGTTGTCATCCGAAATACATGGATTGTGTAGTAAAAATGTCACCTCATGCCACACAAGGTTATCATGTTAGTTTCGGTGAAATATTAATCGATACTGATTAAGGGCATAAAGTACCACAAAATTAAAATTTTGATGCGTGGGTGGCTGAATTTGAACTTCAAAGAAAAATTCATTAATGATTATGGATCACTCGAGCATTTTCGACAAGTTTTACGGGAATTAGAGGATCCTATTCAATCAAATGCCTAGTGACAAACTTGGATGCTTCTCAACAACCTTTGCTTTTGTTTTTGTATATGATTCGAAAATAATAGAATCGACTTAGATGTTAAAATTCATTGTGTATATAGAACATAACTTTAAGAATAGATCACTAATACCCAATTTTGTTTTTGACTATTGATCATTCACATCCCGATACACCCGATCGACGTGGCAACGAGTATAAAATTAATTACATAAAATTTGTTCATGAAATTTAGCAACTGCATTTTTGGAGTATTTTTGTAGGATTTTCAGTCATTATCAGTGAGATGAGATTCAATTTGACCTTTAGCCGCATATTGCAATTTGCAGAATGTAACCTTGTTCTTACGCAGAGTCTTACGATTCTGTTTGACCAGATTTTCTGTGGGTTGCCACATCACTTGTCGCACACATAGGGGAGGCGACACATGTGACCTTAACCTTAAACCGGTGGAGTTGCACAAGATGTCTCAAAATTTCTGAGGATGGATCCAAAATTATGCGGTGCGAGTTTCGAGATTTTCTGTCTGGATTTATTTGCTAGTGTTTAAGCTTTGCCTATGCCAAGATAAATCCAAATACTTCACAAAATTCACTTGAAAAATAATTAATACTCTTTCATTTGGACATACCCTCCTCTTCCTTCTGCAATATGCATCCAAAGAGATCTCACTCTTTGACTCGATGATTAATCAAACCAGATTGATTCAAATCAAGCTAAACGAGCCGCCCCTAGTATTGTCGAGCAAGAGTTGTAATATGATATTCCAACCAGTAAAATTCGACCTCTATCCTATCGACTTAGCAGAAAATTGCTTCTGATGCTTTTAAGGCTCCTTTGACCTTTCGAAAGTCCTTTAAGTTGATTCTGACAATCTGGAATTCAATGGAGTGAGGACAGCATGAAGCATTGATAGAATAGAACCGGAAACTAATTGATATGTTACATTAATGAACCCATCAAGATGATAGCTTCTCCTTATTATAATACTGTCTGATGTCTAATAGGTGGCAAAATTGACTCTTATATGGCAAGGTCCATGCCTCTCCTCAATCAACTTGTGCTGTCCGTAGAGTAGGAACGGTCCATGCCTTTCTCGCTCCAGCCCTCTTTTATTACAAATTCTGCTATATAGAAAAAGAATTGGGATTATACATTGAGATACATTGGTGAACACGTTTTCTTTTTCTTTTCTTTTTTTAATTTGTGTGAATTTTGGATGTAAGAAATTTGGCGGACCTATATCGCCCCCTTTTATGGCGAGAGTGAAATCCTTAGCAAAAAGGGGTAGATTCCCTGTCTTGGGGGCTCAAACTCTTGATAAAAGATCGAAACTTCTATGTTGAGCCACAATTTGCTCATCAAAATAGAGGATCGATTTTGGTTGGGTCTTAGATATCGGTTGCAGAGAAGATTTTGTATAACATATATCACCAATATTTACTAAACTATAGAAAATCTCTTAGTTGTGTTTTCGAGTGTAGAAAAAGATTTTGTAACACATATATCACCAAATTTTACTAAACTATAAAAGATGTCATTGGTTTTTTTTTTTTTTTGGAAAAATGACACAAACAGTCCTTGAACTTTGGTTTAATGTGCAATGTGGTCCCTAAATTTGTAATTTATTCAATGTAATCCCTTAACTTTAATCCATGTGCAATGCAGTCCCTGAACTTTTAATTTGATCAATGTCATTCTTGAACTTTTAGTACATATTCAATTTAGTCCTTGAGTTATATGAAAAACTTTAATGTAGTCATTCCATTAATTCAAGTTCAGGGACTACATTGAACATTTTCATATAGTTCAAGGACTATATTGAACATGTACCAAAAATCCAGGAACCACATTGAACAAATTAAAAGTTCAGGGATCACATTGAATATTAGACTAAAGTTCAGGGACTACATTGAACAAATTAAAAGTTCAGGGATCAAATTGAATATTAGACTAAAGTTCAGGGACTACATTGAACAAATTAAAAGTTCATGGCCCAAATTGCACATTGGGCCAAAGTTCATGGACTATTTGTGTCATTATCCCTTTTTCTTTTTTTCTTTTTCTAAACCATCAGATATAATTATCAATAAAGAGTATTTATCACAAAACATGTACATGGTCTTCCAAAGTAAAGAAGGAATTGCTAAATCGAACAAAAAAAAAAAGAAAGAAAGAAGGAATTGCTATACGTATTGTATCACACGTATCACTCTATTTAGGAATCTTATCCTATATATCCGATATTCCAATAAGTTAAACTCGACGACATTTATGGCATGGATCATCCCACTCCCACTATCAAATTCTGGCACAAGTATTAATTCTTATACAATATAAAACATCACTACTCTTCTTGCCATATCTTTGTCAATGCAGTGACTAATGGGGCAGGCTAATTAAGTCAATTATTACTCTATTGTGCAGATATTTCTGCAATGAGTAATATACCTTTTAGCTGATTTTTGTATGGGCAAGAAAGCAATTATCTTATTTTTGCGTAGCTTTCAATTTGAGAAACTTATCCCTATCACTTTATATTTATTCGAACTTGGGCTTATAACTTCCTAAGATGGTGCCTATCATTTAGTCTAAGATATTTATTTCAACTACCCTCCGCGAATATGATCGGATCCTCCTGGACCTACAATTATTCTCCAATTGTTTTTTTCTTTTTTGGGTAAATAAGGAAGAGAAAGATGGACTGCATTTATGTTTGAATTCATATAAAAAAAATATTAGAGATATCACAATAAGATACTGCGGAACCTCTGGCTCTCCGATGATGGGTAAGGACAAAAGTTATTTTTTTAATCGTATCAATTTGTGTATACATGTGTGCGAGGTGGCAAGCTCGTCAATAAATTTTGAAACCATGTATAACTGAATCTGCTATGACAGAATTTGATTATAAAAATATATTCGGCAATATGTTCGTTTAATGAATTTTGACATATGGTCTATATGGAGGAGGGTAGGTAGCCTGTACACATCAAATTAATGTGCGAACAAACTTTGTTTATACTGACACGCTCATGGTGTGTTTATTTAAAAAGTATATATATATTGTATTAAAAGCCACTTGGAAATGGGAATGATTGCCATGATACTTCACTAGTCATTTTTTAGATAACGAAAAGGGAAGATTCGTACCATTTATTGTCATTATATATGTCTATCCAATATTAGTTTAATCCCAACAAAGGGCTTGGTGGTCCACTTGGAGATTTTAATCAACGTTCTATATTGAGTTTGATATTCTAATTTTCTTTGTAATTGGACAACTTGTACATTTTAGTGCTCTAATAAACCGCCCCAAAAGGGTATTTTGTGTATTATTTATATCCTGTACACATCATAAATAAAGCAATAAACTTTTAGATGAAGACGTT